TGTTGTTGGTCTTCTTGGTGCTGTAGGCTTATGTTTAGCCTTTTCATTGGTAATCCAGTTCTGCAAAAATATCGATTATCAGCATAAGTTGATTTTTTGGGGAAAGTTGTTTAAATAAATCTCACACACTTTAATAATTTCAATAGTAAGGCCTGTTTCTGAGGCCGCTTCCTCGATCAGACTTGTTTCATAGTGGTTTATCATCCCCGCTGCAAATTTTTGTCTGAGGATGTTGATTTGTTCTTGAGTAAATACTGTGCGTGGTTTACGTGGCATTGCTATTAAATGACGATAAAATATTTGGTAGTCTGGTCATGATGAGAGAAATCGGAGTGCTTTAAATAAATGTGCGGAAAAAAATTTTTCAAACAATACGCAGGAGTCGTATGATCCGTCGCGATTAATTGCAAATAACATTTACGTCATATAACATTCAGCTTGCTCCACCAAAGATCGTATGATCTATGTCAATTTATCGCATCATACGACATTCAGCTTGCTTCATCAAAGATCGTATGATCTATGTCGCAATTTATCGCATCATACGACATTCAGCTTGCTCCACCAAAGATCGTATGATGTAAATATCAAACAACGTCACATAGTACATTCAAATTATGCAATGTCTATATGTGTCATTTTTGTGCAATGCAAAAGCATCATGTCATTTCCATTTTAACAATTAGGTTGTCGATCGTCTCTAATACATTTTTGTTGACACAAACAGATTCGAGTCATACAATTATATCATGTATTACATGATACGCATATCATACGATGGGTCGATCAAAAAAAAATGCATCAGGTGTTGCAGAGCATTTTAAATTGCGGGGTTTCAAACAATGTGCAAGAATCGCATGATCTATATCGTATGATCTATATCGCATTGAGAAAAAAATCAGAGATAGTTTATTGGTCAAAGATACATCATGTTAAAGATCTATCATAAGATGGTGTCCGCGCTTCAAGTTGAAAGTCATTCCACATATCATGAACAACTTAAGTTATGAGAAAAAAAATCAGACATGAGGAACAGCTGATCAAGATTACATCATAGAGTTTTGAGAGTCGGAATTCTAGCTATGATAGTTTAGTAATGTTCATACCATATATATATAATGCTTTGGGACAAGACGCAAGTCTCCAGATTATTGTTGCTATCCAGTTTATACAATTAAATTCAATAACCACAAAGAATAATTTTTGAAAAAGCATGAACAAATTACCCAGAAATTCTATAACTCGTAGATTCGAAATGGTTACTTCTTCCAGCTCTTCTGGAATTGATCCACAAGTCACCAAAGAGGATGCTCGCAAAATTAGATCATTGGTTAAGTCGTCATCGCACCAAACTATTCAAGAAAGCTTTGAGGATTCAGAACACTCCCAGACATTAATGGATATTGAAAGTAGTGACCCAGAGTACGTTATAACACTAGAATAGTAAAGTCAATTTTAATAGTACCATGTTTTTACATTGACATTTCACATATCACTTATAGTTATCAAGAGTCATTATCTGATAATTCGGATGACGACTTTTCATCCAGCTACATTGAACCTTCAGATGAACCATTAACAAATCTTTTAGAGATGGTGGAAAGACAAAAAAATTCCTACAGAGAGCGAATGAACCAACTCCATGCTAATTGGAAACATCTGATACCTAGTGTGATAAACTTCGACATACAAAATCAAACCATGTCATTTGCTGACACATGTAAATTTTGTGAAGAGCCTGCAACCATTCGTTGTCTAGAATGTGGCGGTGAGTTATAGAACTTCATCATCCATTAACTAAACAAGCCAACAAATTAAATTTGCAATTTTGTATAGGTACCACCTTTTGTGTTTCTCATGCAAATGAATATCATGGCTCGGCAAATTGGTATCATTTTTTCGAGCAATGGAGGAATACCGAATATGGCAGTCTCTTTGTAGAATATGATCGTGGTACAATTGTTCTTCCAAAGCAGTGTTTATGCTCGGCAACTTTTTTTGATGCAAAAAAAATAATTGTTCAAACACTTTATGGTAAATGGTGTAAAAGCTTCTCTCTCTCTCTCTTTTTCTTATATATATATATTAACTTATTTTCTGTACAGGTCAGCAACATGTTGTTATAGAAGTATGCACCTGTACTGATTTTATCACAACCTTGCTACACAATAAGCTTTGGCCAGCAACGCCGGTGTCTCCTGGTACGAAACTTTGAGTGTTTTAATTGGCACACGTATTGACATTATTCATTAACATTTATTTAATTTAGAATTGGCCTTCACATATGATGTAATGCAAGTCTATTCTAAGTTAAAGCATTACTGCGCTGTTAATGCGAAAGACTTCTGTAGGATGTTAAGAACAACAGCACGTAATACAACCAATTACGTAAGTAATATAAAATCGAGTGTTGAAATGTACTGCTTTTTTTCTAATACAATATATCTCTTTCAGGCTTCTACTGACGTTTACAGGCGGTTCTTTATTGCATCCCGGCTTTTTGACTTTAAAGAGCATTCAATAAAACATTGGCTATTTTTACCCGAACGTCTTAGAGAGTTCACTGCAGAAGAAGTTGGTTTGACAGGAAAGACTGTGTGTCCAGCATGTTTTAAAAACGAGGTACAACTTATAATATTCATAAAAAACGTGAAATTGTACTAAAAAAGGGATAAAAAGTCCGTATTTTATTTTTACTTACTTTCATCTATTATATTAACTAACTTTGCATAGAATGGGAGATATTTTGCAATGGCGGACGTGTGTTTTGGTTGCAATCAGAAAGCCTCCCAGGGTACAGAATTGCGGGAAACACTTTATGATAACAGACAGGTTTCCCAAAAAGAAACGGACAATTTTGTGATGCAAGCGGACAAAGATAAAAAGCCAAATGAAGTGTGTCCTGATTGAATATAGCTTAGCTACTCGCAATATTACATGTTTATTGTGCAATAGATTTTTATTAACCTCTTTTTCGATAGGATTGTCACCACAAGGCAGGAAGGGACGAGAGTCGGGTCAGCAAAGTAAAAGGGTTAAATTATACTGGCTTAGCTGCATCTATCTGCCGTCATGAAATACCAGACATGTTTTTACATCTGCGACATGGTGAAAGGTAATAAACTTTTATAGCTTTTATATTATGAAACTAAGACTAAAATTTAAAATATTTTTAGGTTTGCATATATCGAACTTCTTTTAAAGAAAATAAAAGAGAGAAGTTGGATAAGCACGCTGCATTGGATGTATGACGTTAATTGTACCTTTTTGCGGTCTTTAAAGGTTGGTTTTATCATGATTATAAATCTTCTCACTTGCAAATTTTCTAACGTGTGTCTCTCATTAGGCAAACAACAAAACTAATCTGGTACCGGAATATAACGCCATTATGGTGTATCATGCAACAGGTCATAAATTACAATGTCAATTGGAATACCACCCAGAAAAAATTTCTGGATTTGGAATGACAGATGGAGAGGGGACCGAAAGACTTAACTGGAAGTTGCAGCCCTTTTTTACGTCATTAAAGGAGGTAGGTGTTACTTGAAAGATTAAAGTTTTCTCATGTAAATCCGAATTTACAAGACAGCTTAATTATTAGATGACTCCAACGAATCACTCAGATGGTCTTTCCGAAATCTGCGAATTTATCGCTCAACAGGTGGTTCATAAAATCGGTATATATTTTTATTTTTAGAATATTGACGTAAAATAATGTACAACATTTTCTAACAAACAATATATATATTACCGTCTCTCTTTTTTTAAGGTGATGTTTTACTTGATCGATTTAACAAGGCGAAGGAGCAGCTTAGAGAATCTAAGGAAATGTTGACGACAACCAGGCTATCAATTCCAAATGGACAAACCGTCTTAACAAACGAAAACATCAAGCAGTGGAAAGTCGCGCATAAGAGAGCCATACTGCATGATAAGAAGAAAGGTATGCTTACTAGTTGTTATGTTTTTGATAGCAATAATTGTATTGTTAACAAAATTTTATCAGGAAAACGACGTACGGCGGCCAACCAAGAAGATTTAAAAATACAGTACTTCGGATACTTGTGGTCTTATAAAGCCGCCAGGTACGTTTACAATAACGTTGAGATCTTGAAAAGTACTTTGCTCTTATATATTATTGGCGTCCTTATTTAGGTCAGCTATTACTGCTTCGGATAATATAGAAGTAGAACAAGAGCTACAACAACAACGGCAGAGAGCCCACGCTGCTATGCTAAAACTCGAAAAAAAGCATCTTGTACGTATAACATCGTTTGTGTTTCGAATAATTTAAATCTATGCTAATATTGATAAATTGTTTAGGAGTTATCAAGGTGGTCGGAGGACACGGAGGAATACAAAAATGCGGCCAAACTCTACTTTGAACATAAGAAAAAAGAACAACTCTCGATTGTTCAAAGTTGGGCCTCAGAATACAAGTATTATAAATACTTGTTGACAAAAAGCGGACATAGTAAGTATTCTTTGAAAGTTTTTATCAAAGTTTTTAACAAAACTAAAGTTACTTAATTTTTTCTAGTTGGGTATAAGCGAGCCAAAAAAACTACTCAAGCGACATCGAAAGCTGCTAGCAAGTTAAACGAAAGTATTTTGGCATACAACAATCTTTCAGAGCAGTCAGCGCTTTTTGAAGATTCTACATCCGCGATTCAGTCGCTGACTATGAAAGACGTTATCGCCTCCGACTGCTGGATTTGGCAACACTTTGACGGACTGCAGACAGCCGGAAACATACAATCGAGCACTCAGTGGGAGGTCATTTGCGTTAAAGACAAATTTGATAGGTCTCTCGAGGAACTAGGGTTTTTGCGAGAAGAAATACAAAATGTCGAGATTTTCTGGAAGAAACACCTTGCATGGATTAGACAAACCCTATCTTCTCTGTCGAACAATTGTGACCTCATTACAGACAGTTATAGAGCATTATTGATTGCTGAATACCAGCGTACAAACAAGAAACTGAATGATTACGCTCTGAAATTTGCTAATGCATTGAATGAGATTACAATGCTGGTGGAGCAGAACAAAGATGAGATGATGACAGAGTAGAATAATTCATTACATGTATGTGCAATAGTTATTTATTAATTCATTTAATAAAAGTAATCATGTTTGTTGTCTGTTTGATAATTTAAAAATAAGTTGTTAAATAAGCCCTTTTCATAATGTACATGTTGAGCACCACACCATACGTATTGACAACATGATGCTAAAAGCTTTGAGAGCTACATTTTATATCCCATTGTAAAATAATTTATGCCTTCTTTCACGGACAAGATAATGTTCCGAACTTTATCTTCATGCTGAATTTAACATTTGATACTAATATAATTTTGGTAACATATTTTTTTCTAAATGTAATATAATTTGTCAAGCTATATAATGCTAAGATTTTCTTCTAAGATGACATTATATTTTAGCAATGGTTAGACTTTTTGTTAATCAATAATCGAACCAGATGTTTATTTATTTATTTGTTGTTATCTGATTAATTAGCAGGATAATTGTTAATGTGAGATGATTTGGCTAATGACTAATGATAATTATTGTGGGATAATTTGTCTGGCTAATTACTAATGATTATTATTGTGGGATGGTCTGGCTAATTACTAATGATTATTATTGTGGGATGGTCTGACTAATTACTAATGATCATTGTTGTGGGATAATCTGATTAATTACTAATGATCATTATTGTGGGATGGTCTGGCTAATTACTAATGATCATTGTTGTGGGATAATCTGGTTAATTACTAATGATCATTATTGTGGGATGGTCTGGCTAATT